TATATATATATCACCCAGGAGTGTAATGGTATGATTGAGATCCCTCAATCTTAATTAGGAGAAATCAGGTCTAATCCTTGAGAATACTGGGCCCTACATTGTGTGAATCTAGACTGGTCAGGCGTGTGGGTCCCAATACTTCACTGAAAAGCTTGTAAGAGGGCTAGGAGTGCTTTTGCAAAATTTGATCCATTCCAAATATTTTGCCACGATTAACTATTTGGCCAAAATTCACCTTTTGATCGCCTATGGAAGATCATACAGTTTAGAGACTAGCAAGGATTTTTTTATTCTTATTATACAGATCCAGATGAAAATTCAATAGCTAGAAATTTGCCTGAAGAATATATTGCAAATTATTTTATATGAATGTAATTATATTACGCATTTTCTATGACAATGTTTATCTTCTGAATGAAATTTTTTCTATGATGTAGACAATGATAATGAATCGACGAATCATACAACAGTTTTTGTTGATGCTCTTTCTATGCTTGACCTATGCTGAAGTTCGAGGCATAACATTACCCAATCAAGAAGATTTAGAGTTGGAGAAGCAACTAAAACTTCTAAATAAGCCTGCAATTAAAACGATTAAGGTACCCGTCTTAAAAGCTTAAAGATAACAAATATATGTCCTCTTTGTATGGATTACATTGCAAATTCTCTTTTGTGCTACATAAATCATTAATATTTTAATTTGTTTTATCAATAGACTAAATATGGCGATATATATGATTGTGTGGACTTCTACAAGCAACCTGCATTTGACCATCCATTATTAAAGAATCACAATTACTATCCTCAGGTTTGCCTCGAATATATCCTCTTGCAATCAATTGTGATTTTCAATTCTGCAAATAAATGGTGAATTATATAAAGAAATTTTGGATGAGACAGATGAAACCCTCGTCGTATATGAAAGAGAGCGATTCAACTATTTCAACAAGTAAAATATTGTCGAGAACAGGATTACCAGAAGGAGGCTGTCCTGTTGGAACTGTTCCTGTTAGAAGAACCACAAAAGAAGATCTTATTAGACATAAACTTTTGCCCCCACCAGAAGATGCCATGGTCAAGAGTTCACTTACTCATGTAAGATAATGTTGTTTCAAGTTAACAAAGTTAGTTCTAATACAATTCATATATATTGCAAGTTTGACAAAAAAAAAAAAAAAAAAAAAAATACTGAAGAAATCATTTCCTGTCACAAACTAATTAGTTTAGCTTTTAGTATGACATATGTTATATTGTTACCTTATAATTGCTTTTGCGCAGAAGGAAAATTCCATTGATTCAAAAAGGAGAAGATATAAGCCTTTGCAAGGATACAAGGTACATATCATGATTTGTCATACTTATTTGAATTTAATTTATTTTATCCTTTTTGCATTGGTTTTTTGGATCCCCTTATTTGAATTTCTGGCCATGCTGCTGATATCCATGAACATCTTGTTTATAGCACGACGGTATGTAAACATGGTCGAATAAGCCTTGATAAAATTATGTAAACATTGCTAATATATAGGAAATCACTTAATTAGAAATATGTTGAAATGAAGCCAAGCTCTTCATGAAGAAATTTCAAATTTAAGTGATACTACATTTATTATATACTCTCTTCAGCTTGCAATAGCTACTACTCGAGGTTATCCAAGTGACAAATTTGGAGGAGCCGCGATGACAACTAGTGCCTATAATCCTCATGTCGAAGGTCAACAAAGCAGTGCATGCCGATTGAAACTAATTAAAGGAGCAAATATGATACAAGCCGGTTGGAGAGTAAGTCAATTGACGTTTTCATAAATAAAGAAGTGAGCTATCTTTTCATCACCTACATTTAACATTATTTCCTATTTCCTTTTTAGGTTGATCCTACCTTGTATGGTGACAACGCGACTAGATTTTTTATACATTTCCAGGCAAGTCCCTAACTAATTAATATGATTAGATAGGTTTTTAAATAATTCATAATTTCTTTTGCTGCCTCAAACATTTTAATTTCATACTTTCAGGATGGTGAAAATGCTTGTTTCAACTTGTTATGTCCTGCCTTTGTACTTGTAAATCCAGGAGTAGCTATAGATGGAGCATTTGATATGGTTTCACAACGTGGAGGGAAAGTATATGAGATAGGACTTTCGATAAATTGGGTAACTTTTCTTTAATTATTCTACCTTTAAGTAAGTAGAAGAATTAATTCAAGCATAAAAGCAATTTCTACTTTTATTTGTTAACCATTTTTTTGATTTTTTCCTATTGAAAATAGGACCAAAATGAAGGAAACTGGTGGTTATTCTATACAGAGACTAACACACCAATTGGTTTCTGGGCTCGAGAGGTGTTTAATGACTTTGACTATTTTGCTACAAGCGTTGAATGGGGCGGAGTCGTATATAGTCCACCAGGAATACCTGAACCACCTATGGGTTCAAGCTTTTTACCTTTTAAAGACATTCGTTATGACGGATATTGTAGAAATATTAAACTTTTAAGTGATAAGGGTGACTACATTGATACAAGCAACTTGACATATTATTTAGACGCCCCTAATTTGTACAATGTAATATTTAGTGGGGATTATTTGAAAAACACAATGTTTTATGGTGGACCTGGTGGCTTGTGAGCAGACATGAGTCTTTAATTAAGTCTAGCCATTTTATGGTAATTTGATTAATTGCTCAAAATAAATGCAAGAAAGTGGGTGCAGTATCTTTTTATGTTTATTGTATTTTGTTCCAATTTTCAGTTGATTGAGAAAGAAGACCTTTACAATTATATATGGAGACATTTTTTCTTTCTTTCTTCTTCTGTCTTTTTTTTTTTTTTTTTTTTTTTTTTTTTGGGTAATGGTTTCCTGGCCACTTAAAATTTTAGGGTTTTTGAAAGCCGATACATAAACTTTGGACTTTCCCATCTGAACACTCAAACTTATATATTTGATAATTAATAAATATATTTGACCGTTGACCATGTACATTTGGCAATGACAGAGGTGATATGGACAAAGTAGTGCAAATCACCTAAACTAAGCGCGTTACTACAATAATTTTGATTAAGAAAATCTAAAAAAAAATTATACAAAGAAAAAGAAAGAAAATAAACCCCTGCTCCAAAATCATTAAACCCTTATTCCCCTCGCCACATCATCTTCCCCGAACAAAGTTACCGGTTATTTCAGAAACCTAAGGCGGCGAATCACCTCCTGTCGTGGAAGGTTTAAATCATCGATTTTTTACTCGTCCGTTAGTGCTTTGGAATCCGAAGAAGATGATGAATCCTGCTCGAGGGATTGGATGTCGGTTTTGGAGTTTTGACAAATTGGTTGCAACAGTCAAGCATCGGCAAAGCCAACAATGACCGAAAAATCCACAAATCTCTGAAAATACCAATCAAATCATGAACTCAACTGCAAGCAAACTACAATAAATAGTCCAATCCCTCCAACGGAAATCCAGCAATAACAAATAGCAAAATAATCAAAGGCGAGTGACAAAGCCCCGACCTATGAACAACGACAGTGTATGGTCGCCGGAAAGTTTGCAAAATCGGACAGACCTATAGATTTTTGGTAGCAGCCGAAAAATAATTTTGTTAGAAGTGAAAAATGGTGGATTTTATGAAAGTTCATGGCTGATTTTGGTTGGTCTATTGATTAAAAGAGGGGGACCCCAATTAGTTGGGGTTTGTTTTTGCATCCTTAACGTGTAATAATCTCATTGGTCATTTGCTAACTGGATGGATCATTTGCTGGCTGGATGGACACGTCTGTGTATGTATAATACACGCGCATAAGGTCAAGGGTTAAAAGTGTTTATTAGTTAAGGGAATCAGAGCGTTCGAATGGGAAAGTCCAAAGTTTGTGTATCGGCTTTCAAAAGCCCTACAAATTTAAGTGGCCAGGAACCCACTACGTCTTTTTTTTTTTAAGTTAGGAAACCGCCTATATTTCTAAATGTCATGCCCCAAAAGACCAGCACCTAGTATCTTCAACTTATACCGAGTGAACCACTTAAAGTTGTCTATTTATTCATGATTTTCTCAAGGTTTGAGATATGACTTAAACATTAAAAATACCATCTTGAGTCGTTTGGTTAGAAATAGACGAGGACGACAACAACAAGAATAACAATTCAGTAAGATTTTACTAGTGGGGTCTTGGTAAGATAGAGTGTACACAGGCCTTACCCCTACTCCGGAGAGATATAGAGGTTATTTTCGGAAGACCCTCAGCTCAGAGACAATATATTCGTAACAATAGAAGAAATCCAAAAAAATAGAATCAACATCGTAAAAGACAATAAATAAATAGAAAGTTAAAAATGTGAAAGACATTAAAAATGTGAAACACAACAAAAACTGCTAGCAATCCTAGACAAAATGCCATCAGACAAGCCGACAATACGAGGAGAAACGCTCGACTACCCATTAACTTATAACCCAAACGCTCGACCTCCACACCTTCCTATCAAGGGTCACGTCCTCGGAAATCTGAAGCCATGCCATATCCTGCCTGATCACCTCACCCCAATACTTCTTAGGCCGCCCTTTACCTCTTTTCATATCCGCCAGAGCCAACCGCTCACACCTCTTAACCCGAGCATCTAGGCTCCTCCTCCGCACATGCCCGAACCATCTAAGCCTCGCTTCCCGCATCTTGTCATCCAAAGGAGCCACGCCCACTCTCTCCCGAATGTCCTCATTCCTAATCTTATCCATCCTAGTGTGTCCGCACACCTATCTCAACATCCTCATTTCTGTTACTTTCATCTTTTGGATATGTGAAAACTTGACTGGCCAACACTCAGCCCCATACAGCATGGCTGGTCTAACCACCGCTCTATAGAACTTACCTTTATGTTTCGGTGGCACATTCTTGTCACACACGACTCCAGACGCTAACCTCTATTTCATCAACCCCACCGCGATACGGTGCGCGACATCCTCATCGATCTCCCCATTTCTCTAAATAATAGACCCTACGTACTTGAACTCTCTCTTAGAAATCTTTATTTTAATTCAAAACATAACTAGGACTTTGGCCAATTAAATAACATAAGTGTGGAATGAAGCTGAGAGTTCGAAAATATAAATCACATTTACATGACAACCTCCTCTGTGAGCCAAATCATTCATTAAGTTCTTATGGTCGACTCTTTATGGGCCAACTCATTCATTAAGTTCTTATGGGTGACTCTCTATAGATCGACTCATTCATCAGTTTTGTTACGCGGCGCCTTTTTGATGTTCTTCCCTTTTTAATTATAAAATTTTCAATAATTATCCTTCAAATTATTTCCATGGTGATTTAGTCATCTAAATTCTATAGTTATGCCAAAATATTATTTAAATTTTTTTATTGCATTTTTATAATTACATTTACATTTTTAAGCTAATTTGCATATATTTGCAATACTAGCGCCATTAATGCATAATTATATTGTTGATGCATAAAATGATATTTAATATTTTTAAAATATTAAATAACTATTTTAAACCATTATAGTACATGAAATTATTTTTCAAAAATTATTTATTATTTCATATAAATTATATAGTATTAAAATGGCTATTTAAAATATGGCCTAAGTTTATTTAGATTTTAGCCCTAATCCAACCCCAACTTAACCCAATTACCAGCCCAGCACTCAATTAAGTTACTCGGCCCACACCTCAAATACCCGATCTGGTCCCCCACACCCTTTAATTCTGGTCGTTGATCATAAAGATCAACGTCCACCATCAACCCTTCCTAAAATAAACCCAAAAGACCCCCCAAACCCTATCATTTTATATACACCCGACGCCCTAAAACCCTCTTTGCAGTCAACTGCTCTCAATCTAAACCTAATCTCCAAACATCGCCACTCATCTATGGCCATCTCTGATGACCTCACACCACCCTTCAGGCCTCCAATGGCCTCTCTCACGTTGTTCTTGCCATCTCCAGGGCCCTCGAGGATCCTGTCCCCGATCCATTCTCCAATCGTTGCGGGGTAGGTTGTGCCTTAGGGAGTTCCTCTTGTCTTCGAGGTACGGTTGGTACCTTTCCTTGATTAGTTTCTCTTCTTTCGCCAGGAGTCTGTTCGGGTATACCGAGTCCGATGGGGCCCTATCTTGTCATCCTCCACCCTAATCTTTGATTGGTACCAGTTGTGGATGTCTGACCAAGCTACGGCCGGGTACTCGATCAGATTCTCCTTTAGCTGCTTCGAAGCCATAGAGCTTTGTTCGTTTAGGCCTTGGGTGAAGGCCTGTACCGCCCAATTGTCGGAGACTGGTGGTAGCTCCATTCGCTTCATTTGGAATCGGAACATGAATTCCCGCAGCAACTCGTTCTCCCTTTGCTTGATCTTGAAAATGTCAAACTTCCTCGTTGCTACTTTAATGGCTCCGGCCTATGCTTTCATGAACGAATCTACTAACATGGAAAACGAATCTATGGAGTCAGGAGCCAGGTTATGGTACCACATCATGCCCCCCTTCGAAAGTGTTTCTCCAAATTTTTTCAGCAGTACGGATTCAATCTTTTCACTCTTTATGTCGTTGCCCTTTATTATGCAAGTGTACGCGGTGACATGTTCATTGGGGTCGGTGGTGCCATTATATTTAGAGAGCTCCGACATCCTGAACTTCTTTGGGATATGTTTTGGGGCTGCTTCTTCGGGGAATGGCCTTTGGATGAATTTCCTTGAGTCCAAACCTTTAAGGACCGGGGGAGCGCCCGGGATCTGATCGACCCTAGAGTTGTAGGTCTCGACCCTTTTGTCGTTGGCTGCAATCATCCTTTCTCCCGACTCGATTCTTTTGGTGAGATCCTCGAGCAT